TGTAAATGATTTCATACCAGAGGCTTGGCAAAATTTGTCCTGATTGTAGACAACTGTTTGGCTCATACTTCACCTAGTTTTAGTGAAAGATAATGTATGTGTATTATTCTTTCCTCCAAACTGTACATCCAACATTCCACCTATGGATATCGTAACCATGGGCATGCTGAAATGCAAATATAAAGTAGCATTTTTAAAATCCACGTTACATTTTTTGAATAAAGGCAAGATTATGTATGAATTAAAAAATACTTTAGCATAAAAATCTGCTGTGTAGGGCATCACAAGATCATGAGAGGATGCATCTCCAGATACTTTAAAAAATGCTTACCATAATTTATAGTCAGCTACCATATTTCATGGTGAAGATGTCTAAGATGATAGCCGCAAATTTGAAGTCTTCTGGATATCGCAAACCTCAGGTGAAATTTTCTAGTTAATGGATTATGTGAAGTGGTAATAAATGAAGATGATTTAACAGAAGTTTTTCATTGCAACGGCAATGCCCCAATCATCAATCAATTAACAGAAGGAGAAGCGAAGTTTTGGGAAATGAAAAAATTTCGACTGACAAGTTAGTCGGATTTCTCGAAACTTGAACAATGAAACTTTGTAACCAAACAAGAAATTATGTCTGTCTATAGAATTAAAAAGCACAAAAAACGAAGCAACTGAAATGACTTACACTGAAAGAAATGTTTAATAAAGTAAACAAATAAATACAGTACAAATTCTGATGGTCGGACTTGTCGGGACTTCAGAGATTCCGCATTTGGGATTTTTCTAGATATTAGATCATCAGTTTAAAACCAGTAAGATGGCATGCAGAAATTATAAAATTAAAAGTATGAAATCATGATTTATGAAATAATGAAGCATTTATGATCTAAAAGGTATCAAAAGCTACAAAAATAAGCTTAATATTTATTTGTTTACTTTATTAAATATTTCTTTCAATGTAAGCTGTTTAAGTTGCTTCGTTTTTGTGCTAATACTCTTTCTTTAATTCTACAGACAGACATAATTTCTTGTTCAGTTACAAAGTTCCACTGTTCAAGTCCTGTAATTGATGTGTTGAGAATTCTGACTAACTTGTCAATCAAAATTTTTTCTTCAATAGCTTCTCTGTCACTTTCTTCACTATCGATAGCATTATTTTCTGGATCTAGAACCATAACTACAGATTTCGCCATAAGTTAAGTGATTGACGATTAAAACATTGTTATCACAATGAAAATCGTCTGTTATACGATCTTCATTTATTACCAGTTCGTCACATTTGTTTACAAAATCTATCAATTGGAAAATTTCACCATTGGTTTGCAATATCTGAAAACCTTCTAATTCACAGCTATCATCTTCTGGTAGCTGGCCATAAATTATGGCAATCATTTTTTTTTTTTTTTTTTTAAGTATCTGGAGACACATCTCACGATGCCCCCACACAGCAGTTTTTACGCTAAAATAATTTTAAAATTCTACTTTATATTTGCATTTCAATGTGTGCACTATTTCCATAACTGTAACCTGAATGATGACCATACAATTTGGAAGAAAGAATAATATGAGTACATTATCTTTCACTAAAACTTTAAGTGAAGTATAAGCCATACAGTTGTTTAAAAAATCAGGATAATTTTTACGGCATCAGGTAAAGCAACCGAATTCAAGTTGCCGAGCCTTGGGTATTAAATGATTTTGAAACCAATCATTCATTGACACTTGTGTCATCCATGCTCTTTTATTTGCACAACAAATAACGGGAAATCTTTACTCCTTTTTAAATGCTAAAGGTCGTGTATTTTTTCTGATTATGAAACGTTTCACTTGTACATTCCTGCAGCATTTGCACACGCTAAAATTGTTAAGTCTCCCTTTGGAATCTTTGATACTTGTTGGAGCCTTTTCTATAGAGGTTGCCAAGGTATTTAAGGTACACATTGCCAGAAAGGACCAGTTTCATCAACATTGTAAAATTGTTCTGGAAATAACTTCACTATTAATGAGTTCAATAAATTCCTCTGAAAATAGCTCAGCAGCTTTAGTATTAGCTGAAGCTTTTTCACCTTAAATTTTTAATTCCCTTATACCATGACGATTTTTTAATTTGGTTAACCAACCTGATGAATTTGTGAACTCAGGTTTTAAGTCTATTTCTCTGTAAAATATAGCCATAGCTTGAGCCATTAGTATTCGACCTTTCAATGGCACACCCTCGCTGTGACTCTGGCATGGTGAAGATCATGGAATCATTCAAAATTGATGCCATGATCATCACTTATAGCATAACAAATAATTTTTCCATTACTCATTGCAAGTGGGGTGTCAGAATGCATAAAAATTTTAAAAAACTCTTTTTATGTCATACACAGTTGACTTTTTAATGCCATACTCCTTGCATAATTTTGAGATGGATATGCCGTTATCCATTTTTTGTAGCGATTCCACTTTTTATTAAATGGACTGTATAGATCCCGTTGCAGCTCCAGAATTAGAAACGTTTTTCGACATAAAGCTGGATCAAATCAGAAAGTTAAGGAACAGCGCATTCTGCTACATTGACTGAAAGTTCTTGGAATCAGTAAAGTATAACTTTAGTCTAGCTTAATAGCATTCGCTATACATTATTGTCTATGAGTTATGAGACTAGCATCTATCTTCTATCACACACTGAAACAATTAAGCCTGAAATGTATTAGTTTAGTTATTTATTATACTTACATCTACTTCTTGCACATGCTTAAGGCTTATCTGAGTCCTGAATAAATAAATTCCAGCATACACTTAAGGCTTATCTAGGGCCTGCGCTAGATATCTCACCACCTGATGCAGTATCTGTACGCCCTAAAGCCTGCTACCAAGCGCCTAAATTTTTGCCGCCCCTTAATTCCGGATCCCAGTACTTTCTCTAAATTCTAAAACTTTTTTCATCTCTTAATTTGATCAGTGCTTCACCAAATATAAAAAAAAAAAAAAAAAAAAAAAAAAATATTGCCTTCCCTAAATTCTGCCACCCTGAACAGCCATACAAGCTTATGCACCATTCTGGGTTTAGGTGAATAACAAATCAGGTATTCTTAATTCAAATAGGACTAAATATAATCTTCTGGCCTAGGAGTATCATTAACAAAATCTATGTTTAGCATATAAATAGAAATTTTTTTAAATGTTTTCTCGTCAACATTTATTAATGCATTTAATTTTAAATCTGCAATCTCTGCCAAGCGTAATGTACACATAAAAGATAACCTACTCTTTGTTACTACGTTACTAATATAAAAAAAAAATTGTTTTGGAATTGCTACATGAGTCATTACTCAAATTGTTATCTGTTAAAAAACATGTGGTTGGGCCTCAGGGATATAAAATGGTAGTAGGTGTAAAATCAATGATGTTTCAGTTTGAGATGTATGCCAAGCAGATACGCAGCTACGGAGCCAAATTATTGATCACACAAATTGTTTATTATTGTTTCTTCAATAACGAGGTACTTATTTAGTGCTGAAGTTATATTAAGATCCAGGACTCTACACAAGTTTATTATGGAGGGCAGAAAATCAAATGAGCATGCGTTAAGGTCTTGAGGTCCGGATTCTAGATCATTCCGGAATAATGGATGTCAGAATCTCGGACTCTGTACTGTATTAAGACTTTTTTTTTTTTTTTCAAATTTTGATACTCTCTAGATCATAAACTTCATTATTTAACAAATAATGATTTCATATTTTAGATTTATAATTTCTACATGCCATCTTATTTGATTTAAACTGATGATCCAATATCCGGAATCACTTCAGACTTTTTACTGTACTATACGTGTGAAAGCAAGGCAAATTAAGAAAAAGTTAAAAGTATTAAATTTCTGAGATGGGAATGTATATAAACCATAAACTGTGCTAACCTATTAGATTTTTTTTAAAACCTTACCTCCTCCTTAATCATTAACCTACAGTATGAGGTACACTGTGTAAAAAAGTGGGATAGTTCTATACTTCCCATTCTACTAGGCCGAATGGCAAAATTCAATTTGCATTTTTCTTGTCTCGAAAGCACGAATTAGGATATGTATTAGATGTATATATAACATTGTTCTAATGTACACATTTTACGACAAGAGCGGACCTTTTCTGAAATGACACATCAGTTTCTTCCATATTTCGATTCTACGACTCAAATTATGTCAAACTGCCAAGTTTTGTAAAAATTGCACAAGTAGTTTTTAAGTCTCACTCTCAAAATTTCAGCACTTCAATGTCAATTGCTTTTGATATATATTCATTAGTATCTTTTTTTTTTATTAAACTTATTTGATTCTTCCTTTCATGTTTCAAAATTTTTAACCTGTGAAACTTTTATCACCTTAAAGTTGATGCTTTTCTGAGCATGCCTTCAAAAAAGAGTTTTTTTATTCAAAATTTCTTAAGACATATGTGAATTTACATTTTGGCATGTTTTGAAATTTGGAGTATTTATTATAAGCTGTAACAAAGAAAACATGTTTTATACACTTTGTTAAAATTGAAATGTGGAAAAAATTTTTTATGTCATTTCAGAAAAAGTCCGACTGTACGTCAAAATACCTATGTTAGAGCAATGCTATAAATAAAATCTAATATATATCCTAAGTTGCACTTTTGAGACATGGAAAACTCAATTTGAAGTTCGTTGATCAGCTTAGTAGAACAGGAGATATAGAACTGTCCAATTTTTTTCTGCACAGTGTACTTCAACATAATACCTAGTCCTAAGACCAGGGAAATCTCTCAGCTCTCATAAAATCCAAAAAAGAACTAAATATCATATATATACCTCTCCCTGATACAACCTAAAACTATTGTAATAATTTTTTATTTGTACAAAATATTAGCATTTTAAAAACTTAATGAATGAATACTGAAATAAGGAAAATATCCATTTTAATAAAAGTGATACAGAAAAAAAGATTTGTAAAATGTTGTGGATAAAAATTACCTAGCATTTGTTACAGAAATACAACTTACCCAAAGGTAAGGATGTAAGCTGATTTTCCTTCATATTGAGCTTTGTCAAATTTTTGGCACGAGAAAAGATTCCAAAGGGTATCTTACTTATCTGGTTATGTTCTAAATTCACGGTCTGAAAAGAATAAATTTCACAGTGAAACAAATCAAATCAAATAAATCTATTTGTAATTAAGAATAAATATAGAAACTTGACCTACATAAACACTACAAAACTGAGAAGGACCCCCTACAGGATATGATGTAAAGCAATTACGAGACAGAGTGAGGCTAGTCAGATTGCAAAGGCTTGATAATAAACCTTCCTGCAATACAGTCAATATAATAAATACAATACACAACAGTGATATAAAACTTTGTTTCAATATTTTAAATCAAAGAAACTTAAAACGAATATGTGTATTACAATAAATGAACTAAGACTTACTGGTAGTTGAGATATATTATTATTTTCTACATTAAATTCCAGCATATTTACACATCTACTAAGAGATCTTGGAATTTCAGCCAACTGATTATACCTAAAAATGAAAACATTAGTAATTGGGTGGAAATTTTACTGTCCAAAAAATAATCATTACTAATTACCACAAATATAACAATTCAAATGAATGACTATGTTTTTGCATATACTTGAGAAAAATTTATATGTTCTTTATACTTAGATTTTTCTAAAAGTTAAAAAAAAATTAATTTATCATACAAATATACAAACATACAACAGAACTCCAATTACCCAAACTCTAACTTTCAATATCAAGTTATAAATAGGAACACCCAGGTATGATAAAATTTACAACACTCATGCAAGTATTTCTTGTAACACTATGCTCACACTACATTTTTTAGCCAAAAGTAATATCTAAATGCTTTTTGCATTAAAAATATATAGCCAGACATGTTAGGAGTGGCTAATACAAAGGGGGAAAAAAAATATTTAAGAATTATAAATAGATACTGCATGATTTCTGAAGGCTGAACTTCTATGGTCTTCCTTTGAATTTTAATACAGTACAGTGCTAAGCTAGCCCTCTGAGCGGCATGACCGGATATTTTGCTTTCTTACTTTCTTTAATAATGTAAATGCAATCTTAATGAATGTAAGTTTATAAAAATAGAGGCTAAAATAAGTAAATATATCAATTTAGCTAATAAATGTTGCATAAATACAGGTCTTCATGACAGATTCAAAAACTCGTGCCGCACAGAGGGCTAGAACAAATTTTACTTTGTCTGCTTAACTATCCAAACCAGGGTAGGAAAGTGACGTTCATGAAGACAGAGCTATGACACTCATCAAGTAACTCAAGAATGAGTCATCTTTTATGACCATCATTTCAACCTGGTCATTTTTGTAGCTGACCATGCAATGTGTAGGCATTACCGTTAAACTAAGTCATTACCAAGTAGCTTTTGAAATCATATAGTTCTAAAATTTTACAATTCAATTATTCAATCTAGGGAAGGACCAAGACCTTCACGAGAACACCGTGAAACTCATCAAGAAATTCAGGAAGGGGGTCATCATTTACAACTACTTTGGCCCAGTCATTTCTGTACTTCACTGCATCATTTATGTTTTTGGCAATGTTAAATTTGTCAATAGACTATGCTACTTCAGCATGATCATTGCTGGCTGCCTAAATGTTATGCCAGTTAATTATGCTGAACTAAAGAACTGTGTTAGGATTTATCAATCTCTGAAAGATAACATGAAAGTGTTAAAAATTCTTAAAGCTTATTTTACTAAAACAATATCCTAAAGCTTATTACAAGTAAAAAAGTCTTGTTTTCAAAAAGTATGGTTATAAGAGGAGATCCTTTTACAGTAAAAGATAGGTACTGACAGAGAAATTTAAAACCATTTGGAACCTTAAATTATGAGTTAGATGAGAGGCAGTGCAATTCATGCAGCTGCATGACAGTTCAAGAAAGCTTCAAGTGAAACATGTTACTAACAGAACATCCAAACATTTTGTAAAATACCCAACATTTGATGAATTTGCTTGCATAAATATTCAGTGATGTACAACCTTTCTTAAGAAAACACTGAATAAATTTGAAGTATTTGTTTAAATCAACCTTTCTCTTGCATCAACCACTTTTAAAAGAATGTCTGTCTTTGTGTGTGTATGTGCATACCATGCTAGACTGTTCCTCAATTTAAAAAATTAGTTTATGCATCCCATTATTTGTGTAAAAGTACAAAAGTATATGACTTTAGACCCCAGCCACCACATCTGACACAAGTAAATTCAAAGTATATTAAAACATGCAGTACAACTTACTTACCTCAGGCCAAGGCGGGTCAAATTCACAAGGTTTCCTATTGAGTCTGGGATGTCAGCCAATTCATTATGATGGACATCTAATGTTGATAACTGGACACAATTACCTATTTCTAGTGAGGAGAAAAAAATAAGATTTAATAACTATTAATCTTATTTCCTCACAAGACTTGGATCCCCCCCAAAAAGAAACTGCAATACATTTGAAATTTATTAACATTTTCATTTAAATTTCTGAATTTTATTATTCAAATAAATAAAAAAATACCAAGCTCATGCTATTATGTGTTTTTATTAATCAGCAAATAATGATTAAAAATAAAACAATCAAGAAAAAAGGGTGGTGGAGGGTAATATGGAAATTTTGAATGCCATGTTAGCAACTCTGTAGGACCAACCACTGTTTGGGACTGATGGGACATCATTTAGAAAGCTTTGCCACTGGGCAGTACTGGAGCTGTGAAGTGGTGAAAACATGTTTCTGTGAAGATGTTCTATGAATACTGTAATAGTCTCATGTACACACATAGGATATTTAATTTTATTACCAGCTATGATACCACAGTTGTATCTCATCAGCTCATACAATTACAACATGATTGCATAATTTTGAAGAAACAGGTTTGCCCTGAAAAAGAAGTCCCCAGGTACCATCAAGAGGACCCTTTGGTGATCCGTTGAACAACATGCATCAACACTATAGTAGAGGTGAAGAAGTGCATAAAGAATATTGCTTAATTTAAAAAGTTCCATCCCTAGAAGTTACAGTTTGCTCAGAAATACAATCCTAAAGACCCTCTGTTGCATAAGGCATTTATCTGCAAACAGATGTATGATAAGGTTAACCACGATACCAGATGTTTTTTAATGGCAAGTGGGGTATTGGTTAATGGCTATTTCCAACTCAGCATTTCAGTTAGCAAACAAAATTTCTGAAACTGGGTAAAGGAAAATCCTTCTCAGCAACACAAGTGTATTCTTCCAATCATCAATGAACTAAACTATAAGACTAAAGAAAAAATAATTGTTTTCTTCAGGAGACGAGACAATGAGCATCCAAAGTTCATTCAGCAGGCCATTACAGCATCAAAATGAAACATATCTTTCAGATGTTTATCTTCAAAAACTACTGTAATGAAGAAGTGCCATTCACAATGGCATAATCTGCACATGCACTTTGATCATTATGTGAAGTTTTCCCTGTGTTTATTTTCGCATTTCATCAACTGGGATTTTCCTGATTCCCCACGTACAAACAAGGAAAAAGATATTTCTAGTCAATTTACAAAGCATGTTACCTGCAGGCAAATGCTTCAGATGATTGTTAGAAGCTTCAAATGTAACCAGTTGTGTCAGTTTCCCTATACCAGCTGGAAGCTCCTGTATTTTATTTTCACGCAAACTGAGCATGGCGAGATTCTACAAAAGGAAAATAAATTAGCAAACAAAAAATATTACACAAACATAAGACACACATTTAAAAAAGAATTGATAGTTACTGTCAGATTAGAGATTTCTTCACCCACAATTCGAACACGATTAAAGCGCAAATACAGTGTGACTAACGAAGTAAGCTTATACACAACCTCTGGAATCTAAAAAAAGAAAAGAACTCTCAGAAAAATTTTGATTGATGAATTTATTAGCATTTTAATATATTTTTAAGTATCTACTCAAAATGCAAAACAATCAAGTTTACTAATTCTATGCAAGTGACTACATGAAACGAGAAGAAAAGACATTAACATGACAATAAAAATGAAACTAGATACCTTAAAAATACTAGACAAAGGGGAAAGTATTAATAAAATTATGGATTTATGTGTTAGATGTACTATAATTAGGGTGGTAAAGGAAGAGGTGCAAAATCTAGTCTTGGTGTGCAAAAGCAATCGTTTTAAGAATAATCATCATCATTTCTTTCTTTAATTAATGTTATAAGAACCATCATTCAAATGCCTGTTTAATATTGCATATAGAGATATATAGTAGTATCAGACATCTTGATCAGGCATAGCTAAACAATGGATTGTGAGCTTCATGCAGCTCTTTGGTTAATTAAATAAGTCAGAGGACAAGTTTCAATAGATCGCAGTATGGTGGCTGCTCTACTACTTCCAACACCCAGACCAGTACCTAAGTAGTCTACAGACTATTTGGCACCTACACATCACATCTGCACGGTATGGATTTTAAAGGTGGAACCATGTAGTAGAGTTTTTATTGTAACAACAAAATGTTTTAAGCATATGGATTGTAAACAAACCAGCTATGAAGTGCATTTTTATTTAAATGCAATAGCTGCAGTTGTAGATAGTTAAACTCTTGATACATGATTAATAATTTTAACTACATAAATTTAAACTTAATACTAAAAGACAATGGAATATGCCCTTAAAATTAAGAGTTTATTAATAAAAAATTCGTTGAAATTCATGATCCAAAAAGAAAGCACCGACACTGGCAAGAAAATTATAATTATTTCAGTAATAGTAAGTTTGCTTCTTAGCATCAAATTTCTCCCGCCTTCCTAGCGTGCCTTCGTGGTTAGCACACTGAGCCGGTATTTCAGAGGTTCGTCGTTCCAATTCCCGGCGAAGCCGACTGCTAATTTTTCATCTCGTCTGCTTCCCCCCCAAAATACCTAATGTCTCTACAAAATATGTACTTTTTTCAAATATTTATTTTTGTATATATATGTGTGTGTGTAAAAGAAAAAAATGCTGATAAATTTGCCATACTGAATTTTCTGAATATTAAAATTTTGTCTAAAAACATTTAAACTGAAAGCAAAATACAACCATTTACAGATTATTGAAATTTTACTATGTAGTATCCTGAATATATATATATAAGGTAAAAAATAAACCTTTTCCTAACAAATACATACAGCAGAATCCCCTTAACTTGCTTCCCAATATCTTACATTTCCATATAATTATTCAATAATTTTTTTAATCGCTCAATTATTTCTGCTGCTCAAGCAGAAGACTATCTTTGAAATAATGCATTGGTCTACTAACAGAGTGTATTACTTTATAACATCTATCACACACAAAAAATAGGTACATTTTAATAACTACATTATCACAATTACAGCACGTATTTATGGGTATGAATGCTTGCGTGTTTTCATATTCTGCTCAGATTTGTTTTCGTACTTTAGCATGCGTCTTTTTTTTCCTTCTTTGAAATTAATTCCTGGAACTAAATCCAATTATATGTTTAGCTCTTTTCGTGGAATCTATACCATTCTCTCTCTCAGTAATGAAGGGGCTGAAGAAAGTCAGGTACTATCAGGCTTGCTTAAAGGCCGTATCCTATTTATTATAAGCTCAACATTTCGGATATAGTGTCACAGGCTTATAAATCTTGTGTGGTTTATAAAGAAAAGAAATTAACATAATGGAAATGAAACTGGATAAAGGGGAAAGTACTAATAAAATTGATATGGATTTAGATGTTGGATATACTATTATAATAGGGTAGAAAAACAAGAGGACCAAAATCTAGTCTTGGCGTGCAAAAACACAATGTACTAACATTTTAAAAGAAAGGAAAAGTACGAAAGGTAGCAAATAAAAGAAAATGGGTGGGACACGATTTCTGTTTGAACAGCAAAGGGGAAAATGAATACACACTTCAGGACCTATTTTACAAAAGAAAGCTTTCAAATTCCATGAGCAGTTTCACGAAGAATAGCCTGGAATTTACTGCTAGTGTTTGATGGCTCAACAGTGGAGGAATACATGGCATGACAAGTGCCACAGAGTTAATTGTTTGTGGCAAAAATCTATGTGACATTAATAAATTTAAGGAAACTTTCCACAAATCAATTCAAAAAGAGGCTGTATCAGGAGACCAAATTTATAAGTGTCAAAAACGTAGTCCATACTTCACTTATTGCTCCTTGCACATCAGCTGGCTCTACACCCCCGTTTCTCCGTCTTCTCGCGCTTTTCACTCCTCTTACAATACCAGCTCCTTAGGTTGCTCGACCTCTTTCCCCCCGACCAAGGCATTAGCGAACTCCGCGGCCCTTCGAGTTGCCATGACAACATTTCCCGGGACTTGGAGGAATTCGCCACCTGTTCCATCTTCTTTCAACCTGTTTCGATACCATTCACGTGACACATACCGGTAATCGCCTTAATACTCACCTCTTTCTCTCCTCAATTGCTGTGGTGGGAGGTCTTTGACTCCTACCTAGGCGAAGTTAGGAGTTGAAAGAAGTTTTCGTCCCATTGTGTGGACTTTTTATTAATCTCTCGTACCTTTAAACCCTTAACAGTTTTCGTTCTTTACTTTAGCCATGCTTACTCTTAATTATTCAGTTTTTCTTAACGAAGTTGTGGAGGTAATTGCTATTTTCAGCAAAGGTACTCCGAAAGCCAACGCCTTGGCCCTTGGTCAAACGTGGTCCAGGGTTGCCACTTAAAGAGAATAAAATTCCCTCACTTTTCCAGGTATGCTTTGAGAAAATTCCAATCTATATGCATAGCACGCGTTGGCTGCACTTAGAGGTAAATTAATTATGGTACACCACTTGAAAATACTAAAATTTGCCAATTGCATACGACTTATTATATATATAATCCTGAAAGCATTACTGTTATAGCTATAATAGGAGTTGTTTTCTCCACTGAAAATTGAGATTAGAATCTGCCTAATCTGCATTAAAAAATGAGTTTTTTTGCAGACATTTTGCAGCTAAACAAAAGAAAGAAATCTATTTAATGATATTTTAAAATAAATTCAGGTATATTTATTTAGCAGCATACATAAACAAAAATACGAGGGTTGGAACTTTAATAGTGGCAGCACAGCTGAAAAAACGCTACGCAACAAAACCAAAGAATACCGCGTATACCACACGTAAACTACATACCCACCTTACCTCTCAGCAAAAAGACTCGTCCTGCCTATGTCATGCGCATGCGGAGTGACGCGAAGAACGGATCCTTGTATTAGCTCGCGGTCTAAAGTAAGTGTTGTCAGGATGTTTTCAAAACAAGAACAACGATGTTGGATAAAATTTGAATGTGCCAGAGGTCGTACAGCACAACAGTGTCATCAAGGGCTTCAAGAGGCTTGCGGGGAATCTGCATTGCCTTACAGAACTGTAGCAAGATGGGTGAAAGCATTCAATGAAGGACGCCAAAACGTGGCAGACATGCTGCGGCCAGGTCGTCCGACTGTCAGAAATGCAGACGTGCAAGCTGTTGCCGCACTAACGGACAGTGATCGCCGCCAAACGATTCGTCAGTTGGCCGGACAAACAGGATTAGCGCATACGACTGTACTGCACATTCTGAAGGAACACCTGTCCATGAGAAAAATTGCTTCACGATGGGTTCCACATCAATTGATGGAAATGCAGAAATGGCTATGATACGATGCTGCCCGAACCCACCTGGAGCGCTATGAGCGCGAAGGAGATGCTTTTTTATGCCGTATCATTACGCTGGATGAGACTTGGGCCCGATTGTACCAGCCAGAACTGAAACGCCAATCAAACGAATGGCGTAATCACGGGTCACCACGACGTTCGAAATTTCGTCAGAACCCCAGCAATGTGAAAGTTATGGTGATTCTCGTGTACGACTGTGATGGTGTCATCCTAACGCATACCGTTCCCCCACAGCAGACCGTCACTGCGCAGTATTACTGCTTATTTTTGGTGCACAATCTCCGACCAGCTTTGAGAAAAAAACGGCGACACTTTCTGAAGAACGCTCCTCTCATTTTGCATGACAATGCTCGGCCGCATGCAGCGCCAGCTGTGACTGATTTGTTCAAGCGATGGGGCTGGGAAGTGTTTTACCATCCACCATACTCCCCAGATCTAAGCCCCTTGTGACTATGACTTAATTCCTAAGATGAAGGAACCACTTCGTGGCACTCGCTTCCAAACTGTTCCTGAGATTCCAGGCGCTGCTACAGGTATTCTGCGACTTCCACATCGTTGGAAACGGGTTGTACACAATGCTGGCGACTATATTGAAGGACTGTAAAACATGGTGACATGAATCACTTTTGTTTTCCTTGTAAATAAATAGTTGCCACTATTAAAGTTCCAACCCTCGTATGTGCATTAAATTTCGTGATAGTATGTCATCATACTGCTAGATTTAGTTTCAGAATTGTGCCAGAAATTTGAAATATTATTAACTAATAATAAATAAATTTAAAGGAAAGAACATTAAATGATATAAATAACATTAATTACTTAAAAATTGAATTATAATAATCAATGCTATTTTGGTGAATTTTAAACGTTAGCCTAGATGACTGATTACTATTTTTTTTACTGCAAAATGAAAAATAAGGCATTTATTAAAATGAAAAAAAAATGTTTAAAAGATTTTGCGGTAAAATCCTAGTCTCTGCTACAGCCTTTATACAATTTTGAAAACTGCCACCAACACCAAAATAACCGGTTTACTACCCAACACCTTATTAAACAGAGACTAAGAGACAGAATAATTAACTGTTGTTACTGCTCATCATATTGTCGCCAAATCCCGTGTGTACCGCACATGGAGGTTAGAATAAAAAAATATGTATTGTTAAGATAAAAAAACTTCTCCGCAAC